CTAATAACCTGTGAGAGATCTTTTTCATGAAACAGAACTCTTGCAAGCTTGAAGGGTGTTCCTTAGTTACTCTAGTTCAAAGAGAAAGCTTTCTTGTGACTTCTATTACTTCCCACTTGGTGACCTTTTTTCTCTGTGTCACTTGGTAAAAGAACACAAAGAAAGCAATTATGAAGGTAGAAGGGGTTTAGGTTAAGTTTTAGTAGTTGGCTTACTTTACTAGCTTTTATTTATGGCTTGAATTTATAATGCCTTGTAGATTATGAATCTAATACTATCCTTTGATGGAGTGATACAGGTGAGGTCACTGTATGATAGAATAGAAGTGGTTTTTTTGTGCTGTTTCTTTAACAAAGAATCCTATTGTAAGGCTAAAATTATATATATTATGTGTATGTATACATATGTAATATAGTCTATGTGGACGGGGTGTTGTGGTGCATTATAAAGGCCATAGGACAATTTAGGGGAGTTAGTTCTTTCAAGTCTTTGTCAGCATATGCTCTCTCTCTCTCTCTCTCTCTCTCTCTCTCTGTCTCTCTGTGTCTGTCTCTCTCTCATTCTGGTAAATTTTTATATTGATAAATTTGTATATTTTCTGAGTTTTGATACTATTGTATAAAAATGTTAGTTTTTAAATTTTTTTGATTGTTCATTGCTAGTATAGAAATCTGTCTGATTCATATATTGATTTTGTTTCCTGAAACTTTGATAAACTCACTAGTTTGCATATTTTACAGATTACTTAAAGTCTTCTGCATTGTTTGTTTATATTGTTGATAAAAATAGCATTTCTTTTTCCAAACTGGACAGCTTTAAAATTTTTGCTATTATACTTATTATTTTATGCATGCATATGTGTGTGGGGGTTGCGCATGTCATAGTACTCATGTGGAGGTCAGAGGACATCTTTGTGGGGTTCATTCTCTCATTCCTTTATGTGGATGCTAGAATCACCAGGGTTGTTCCATTGAGCCATCTTATTTGTCCCCAAATACACTTCATTAATTAAATGATGTTTTTCTTGATTTTTTTTTTGTACTGTCAAGAATTTTTCCATTGGGTATGGTGGCGCAGACCTTTAATCCTAGCACTTGGGAGGCAGAGGCAGGTGGATCTCTGTGAGTTTGAGGCCAGCCTGGTATAAAAAAAGAGTTCCAGGACAGCCAGAGCTGTTACATAGAGAAACCTTGCCTTGATAACACCCCCCTCCAAACAAAAAGAAAAAAAAAAGAAATTTTCATATAATAATGAATAGAGATAAAGTAGTGGATATTTTTAGTTTTGATCTTGACCCTTAGACAGTGTTTCTTATAATTTAACTTAGGCCAAGTTTATTGGCAGTAAGATTACAAAGTCAAGTCCTATCTAGGCTAGTAAGTGTAAGTTCAAGGTCATTTTGGAAAAGTTTATGAGAACTGATTTCAAGTAAAAAGCAAACAAGGGGAGAAAAAAATGGAAGAAGAGCTGGGAGTTTAGCTTGTCTTGTATCCCCAAGGCCCTAGGGACCATACTCAAGTACTACATAAAATGAGTGAAAAGACTAAGAAAAAAAAAAAAGAATGTTACAGGTTTTTCATAGTTGTCTTTTGTTGGGCTAAATAAATCTCTATAACTTATTTTGCTGAATTTTTATTTAAAACAATGTCTTATGGTGCTTAGGATCAAGCCGAGATCAAGCTGGGAAACAGACAGTCACTGAGACATTACTGTGGTTGCTGAGAATTTTTATGATGAATGCGTGTTAGATTTCTCAAATGCTTTTTATATCTCTGAGATGATCATACAATTCATGGCTTTTAAATTTTAATTACTAGTGTGTGTGTGTGTGTGTGTGTGTGTGTGTGTGTGTGTTATATGCATGTTAGTGTGCAAGTATGCAGTACATGTGGAGTCCAGAGCAGGTCATCAAGGCTTTCCTTTATTGCCTCATGATAGACTCTCATGGAACTGAACTCTTGCCTTTTTAGCTAACAAGCTTTTGGGGACTGTTTGCTTCTGCTTGTTTCTCCAAGTGCTGGGTTGCAGCAGTGGCAGCCATATGTGTTTGCTGGGAATTCAAACTCAGGGTCTTGTGCTTACAGACAGAGCAACTACTCTTATGTACTGAGCCCCCATAGGTTCTTCCCCAATTTCCAGAGATTTACCCTTGAAAGTTAAATTAGCTTTATATTCTAAGGGTGAAGATTACTTATTCAGATAACATCGCAGTTACCTTCTTAAGAATTGTAAGCTTGCTTATGAGGTATTTTCTATAGTTTTTGTAGCTTGCAGTGATTTTGTGTTTGAAACAGTATAATATGATGGGTTGAGAACTCTTATTTCTAAGAGTTCTTTTCACATGATATTTCTTGGCTTGTAGTAGAATTTATCAGTTGTCTTATATTTAGATAAGGTTTCATTTGTAAGGTTGTATTAAAATATTTAATATCTATTATATATGCATATACACACATATAAAATGAAAAAATGAAATGTCTGCCCTGGCAATGCTGAAGCATGCATGGGCAGCTCATATATGGCAGTTCTGTTGAACTTGTTCATACTGGCTTTCATGGTCTAAGTTGATGAAGATGATTGACCAGGTCTCTTCCTCAAGAGGGCACCAGATCTCATTACAGATGGTTATGACCCATCATGTGGTTGCTGCTGGGAATTGGACATAGGACCTTTGGAATAGCAGGTACTGATCTTAACCACTGAGCCATCTCTCCAGATATACATACATACACACATGCATGCATATATACACAAACATATATAGTATATAATACACATGCACACACATGAATGAAGACAGATAACTAGTCAGAATATAGAGTCCAGAATATGAACATAGATGATCAGCTGAGTTTTGAGAGTAATGCAAAAACAGTTGAGGGGGCAGGGAAAATCTTGTCAAAATTTAGAATAGCCAGATTATCATTATTGACCAAAATGGATCTATTATTTTACTCTATACTTAAAGCAAAAACAAATCTACTGCAATGTGTATAATAGGTTTAAATATGAGAACCCAAACGGTACAATCTGTAGTTATAAAAATAGAAAATCTGTGGTCTCAAGTCCTAATCAGAAATTTTTGAATTGGCCATAAGCCAGTAGGAATTGTAAGAAGGAAATTTAGCAATAAATTAATACTTCGTGAAAATACAAAACACACACACAGTTCATCAATGATTTACAATAGTAACATTTGAAGTTCAAAAGCATCAGTCATCAGTAAAATACTGTTAATCCATAGTAAGCTTATATGTCATAGCGATCGGCCTGGATAAAATATAAAAGACTGATGATACTAAACTTGTAAAAATCTGGCAATCTCATATTGCTGGTGGAGATCGGAAATGGCACAATCTCTCCACACTGTACTTTAGAACTAGTGTCCTATGAAGTTGCGTATGCACTGCCACATGATGTTGTGATGGATTCCTCAAGTTGAATGAAAATGAGTGGTCAAAGACTCAGGATGTTCATGATATCTTCCTCCCACAAGAGCTGCAAATTTGAGCTTACTTAGGTGAATAGGTGGATTTATTGTGGTTGTCTTCATGAAAAGCAATAAGCTCTTGATGCATGAAGCTCTATACAAAACATGGTGAAGGAAAGAATCCAGATAGGAATCTGTATTGTATAATTCATACCGTATGAAAAGAATATGATCTGTAATGACAGAGCAGCGAAGTGGGATCCTCAGGCTAGAGGTTGGAGGTGGAAAGGGAAATTAATAGCAGAGCTATTTTAAAGTCTCCGAGAAATTTCTTGATCGTAGTGATAGTTATGCAGGTGTGGTGTCAAGGGTATATTTTACTACAGTGAGCAAAGCTTTTCCCTCTAGTAATTATCAAACCTGACTGCACTTCAGTATCACCTACTAAGCTTTCCAAATGCACCTACCTCTGCTGCACCATACACAACAAGTCAGTTACTAGAAGAAGCCAGCTTCTTTGAACTTGTGAAAGTTCCCACAGTGCTTTCAGTTCTCATCTGGAGTTTGTAAACAGTATTTTCTTTATATTACTTTTCCTCTTTAAGTCTCCGAGACCCTAAGCCATTTTACTGGGTTTTGAGAATAAAGAGCTCTCCTATAACTTGCCGTCTTGGAAAATGATAGGCACTGATTAACAGTGTAAGCATTATTTGTAAATTCAAGCAAGTGCTGTGGGAATGCAAGGTTCATTTTGCCGTAGATCAGTACAGGGAAGTTTGTTTTTCTGGAAACATTGAGCATTGTTCAATTAATACATTATAAGATGGCTCATTTGAAAAACTTATCTTGCATGCTGCACTTTCTTAAAGTATTTTTCTTCTCATTTGTATTGTCGTATTTTAAAAATCAAGGAATCTCAATTTTTCAGTGACAGTATTGAAATATTTTTGTGTCTCTCAGAGTCTTAGTCTGTTACTCTCAGTCGTTTATATTCTACATATTTTATTACAAAAACAAAACAAAAACCTTAAAATGACAGTTGTTCTAGTAGCACTTGGGGAAACAAATAATAGTAAAGGAGTTATTAATGTTGCTGTGTCTGACATGATTGTTATGTGGTTGCAATACTAGTTCTATTTATTGTTAATAGAGAATATGTGAGATGGAAATTTTTTCCTTCTATTCTGTGTTTAGGAAATTCAGAGTTAATGCTAAACATTTTCAGCTCCAGGGTTTCTCAGACTCTGTAGCATGTTCTGCTCAGACTCTTTAAGATGGATCTATAGGATACAGAGATCTCAGTTTGACCATTTAGCCCCTTTTCCATTCATTCACCTCTAAGTTCCATGGATAGGCATGTAAGTAGGTAAATAAATTTTCGGTAGCACTGAAGATATCATATGGCATATTTTAAAGATGATGATCTGTAGAAAGAATTTATATATGATTTTGGTATTTATAAATAGTAAATCTATATTTTAAATTTATGTCATAAATTTAGAAATAATCTTCATTTTCGCATATTTCACTGGTAAGTGAAAGTGAAATTTCCTATTCTCCTTTATTTCAGAGCAGAGTAGAAGAGATGACTTAGAAGCTTTAGGGCATATGTTCATGTACTTCCTCAGAGGCAGTCTTCCTTGGCAAGGCTTAAAGGTAATTATATTTTGTGTTTCTTTATTGGAGTTCATAAAATCTTAATGTGTATTAAGACCTTCTGTTACAACTAAATAGTTTTTAAAACACCACATTCTTGCACTCCTCTTTCCACTTTAGGCTGACACATTAAAAGAGAGGTATCAGAAAATTGGCGACACGAAACGAGCCACACCAATAGAAGTGTTGTGTGAAAATTTCCCAGGTAATGGACAATGATAAACTTCATGAATTGAAATGTGCTTATGCATAAAGAAGGCTAAATTTCATTGCTTAAGTTTATAAGTACTTTTTTGTATACATTGAAAAGCAGGAGCACTCTAGAAATGTGATTTAAAAGTTGTCAACAATTACTGCATAGATCACAGAAAGTTTGTATATTTGTTCCACAAGATGACATTATATGAAGAAAATTCCATCTTTTAATTACCTGAAGACTGACCAAAGCCATGTTTCCTTCGATGATTCATTCTTAATAAGTTGAAATACATGCTGAAGAATATGTGATATCATTTAGTGCACTGTTAGTTGTTTGAATCTCAATGTCAGAGTTGTTAAAAATATTACTTCTATTTTTAAAGTACTATAAAATCTTACTGATTTTACTAATTTTAGGGAAATTTTATATTAGTGTATACATTTTGAAAATAATTCTCCTCTAAGCATTTTTGGCAACTCAGAAGCAAAAATAAGGTTTTTTTAGTCCTAAGTTAAGAAATGGTTTGTCAATTAAAATTTTATGTTTGAGATCGAAGCTTGCTGAGTAACCCAGGCCTGTCTGTGGCCTTGCTTTATTCTCTGGTCTGGGACCTGCTGCCTTCTTGCTGCAGCCTCCTGAGTGGCCTGTACCACAAAGCTTAGCTGTTGGTAGTTACTAAATGGCTGATGTTGCTTGCATTGCAACATGAAGTATAAAGAAGATTAACTCATTCAAGATGGAGGTCTTATATCACTTTGTATTCATGGCTCTTCTGTGTAATGGTATCATAATAATAAAGTCAGTGTTCTGAAAGAAATAGCATATGTTTCCTTATTTAATGTCAGTAAACTTTATTTTCTCTCTTGATATAACTTCTATAAATGGCAGATTAAGCAATATTGGTGACAGACCTAGAAGTTTAGGTCTAGATAGATTGAGTGACTGTATTATGAAGCGTATAAGCAATTTTCCAGGAAAAAATGGAGGTGCCAGTATAATTAACCCTATAATTACACAGCAAGTGGAATAACAAGAAAGTCTCTCTTTGAGGAAAGTCACCAGGGCACTATGTTACACTGTGAATTAGTGGGATCAGAGGAGCCGCGAAATCTTCATGTCTGAGATTTCAGCACTGGTAACCTACTGTTTCTTTGTATAATGTTGGGATACTCTTTTTTTTTTTTAAAAACTAGTTAACAACTTTACCCAGATTTTTGTTTTTCTTTACTTTTAAAATTATAAACTTAAAAGCCGGATGGTAGTGAGGCACATCTTTAATCCCAGCACTCGGGAGGCAGAAGCAGGCAGATCTCTTGTTTGAGGCCAGCCTGGTCTACAAGAGCTAGGTCCAGGATCGGCTCCAAAGCTACAGAGAAACTCTCTCCCGAAAAAGCAAACTAACTAAATAAATTATATATATATATATATATATATATATATACACACACACACACACACACACACACACACACACACACACACATAGAGATTTATTACCCAACTCTTTGATTAGAAATTAAAAGAAAACTCATTGTGTTCTTGCATCAGATTTTTTTGAGATGATTTTGCTTGTTTTGCCAGTTCATTTGATTAAATATGGCTCAAGGTGACGATTAGAAATTTTGTTGCATGTTAGTAAGTTAGTGTGTATTGTTAATGTGGAAGGAAACACAGAAAACTAGTTCAGATGCTTCACGTGAGCTAGTTCACAGTGAAGTGGTTTGAGTAAATTTTAAAATATGCATGAAGTATGCCCGTGATTAGACAGTTGTATCATTGAGCCACTAATTCACCCTCTAGTACAACTCAAGATATCTATTAAAAAATTTAAAAAATGTTTTAACCTTTGGTAATAAGTGTTGCAAACAACTAAATGACTCACTTCCTTTCCTCTTGTTTCCATTCTCCCTTTCTTTCCCCCTTTTTAAATTTTTCTATAATTGAAAATTTTAAATTGAAATAGGATTATGTTAACTTTTATTGAGTATTATAGAGATACGTAGTCAGAATAACTTTTATTTCCTTTCTAGAAGAAATGGCAACATATCTTCGTTATGTTCGAAGGCTAGATTTTTTTGAAAAGCCAGACTATGATTACCTAAGAAAACTTTTTACCGACCTGTTTGATCGCAAAGGATATATGTTTGATTATGAATACGACTGGATTGGTAAACAGTTGGTAGGTACTTTATGCTGCTAAAGTAAAAGATTATTTATGGTATTTTAAATAGTTCAGAATATTTCTATTGAAGATTGAGAACAGTTTGTAAGGAATTCCTTTTATTTCTTATTTGGGGACATTTTTGGGGGATCATCATACTTGGAATTTTATACAAGCTCTGCTACTGGATTTCCTGCTTTTCATAAAAGGATGATGAGTTATTTTGGACTTTCTATCTTAATTTGTTTTTAATATTAAATATGATATTTTATATAGTATTATGGTATTATAGTATTGCTACTTCTCTATAGTAACCTATGTTCTGCTTTGATCAAAATTAAGAATTTTAAAAGCTTCTGAGTCAAAATATTAAATATCTAATTTCGTTATTTAAGTAGTATTTTTAAAATTTGTAATAATGTTTTTTATTTATATATTAGCATTGGATATGAGATTCATAAATACATTTTTATTTTTAATGTGAGAAAGTACCTTAAAATTAATAAAAACAGTAGAAGACCCTTCCTATATACAAAAGTCAGTACACTGAAAAGTGTTTAAATGTCTTAAAAATACTTTAAAAAGTAACTGTGGTCTTTTTACTTTACTCTAAAAGCTTTTATCAATTTCTTGAGAACAGTGTTGCTTCTTAAAGACTTAATTTACTTAGCAGTATCATTTATTGATTCATTGATTCTTTTAAGCAGCTAATGAATCTGTTGTAGATGGGACTACTGAAGCAGGCCATTCCAGCAGTAATTGTTGTTTTCTTGTAGCCTACTCCAGTGGGTGCTGTTCAGCAAGACCCTGCCCTGTCATCGAATAGAGAAGCACACCAACACAGAGATAAGATGCAGCAGTCTAAAAACCAGGTTTGCTGTCCTTTGGATATGAAATCTCTACTTTCATTATTGAGATGCGCATTTTTCTTCAATGGGTCACACATTATACACACTTGAAAGGATTGAAAGTACTTGTGTTTTCAGAAAACTTTTAGTTTGCCATTAATTTCAGAATTATTACCAGTTCCTAATTCATGCTATGAATTAGTCAAAACCAAGCAATGTTTGGTGCTGTTAGGATGGAAGTTTTAAAACTATACCAGCTTTTGCTCTTTCTCTCTGTAGTTAATTCATTGGGTTATTTATTGAATTTCTGCTGTTTAAAGTGATTTTTTTTATTCATGTGTTGAGAAATACAGAGGCAAAAAAAAACAAACAAACAAAAAAAAAAACAGTCTATAGAAGTGCTTTAAACTGAGTGACTGAGTGGTGCTTAGCAAGAACTCATTTGTCTCTGGAAGCAAACGAACATGAATGTGTTTTTACTCTGCATAAATTAGTTTCCTAACCCTTATTTTCTCACCTATTAAGTAGTGGTAATACATGCTAACTTCTAGAATAAAATTTTTAATTAGAATTCTAATAGGATAAAATAAAATAGAATATAAATTTATTCTCAGTAAATCTGAACTCAAGGATGGTGTTTGTTCTTATGAATTTTACATTAAATATACAGATAATTTTGAAGTAGAGTAAACTGTACCACTTGGAGTATATGCTTGGAATATACCACTTGGAAGATATGCTATATGCATTTCCATATCTAATATAGAAAATGTTGTTTCTTGTCATGAACCTGCAGAGTAAATGAACTTCTTTTAGGTAAATAATGGAATAAAGACATCTTAAGAGTAGTGAGCAAGAGACAGGAAAAGAGAGGAGAAAAGAGAAAAAGGGGTGGGGAAAGAGAAGAAAGACAACAGAAAAGCAAGAAGCTAAAAATCAAGAGATTATTTGTTTGAGGAGTATAGGTCAGTCTAATTTGCTTGGAACAGAGCATAAATTAGAGAGAAGGTATGTAAGAGTGATTTGAAATAAGAGTAAGATCGAGAGTGAAGAGTTCATGTTTCCTGGGGAAAGGCATGGCAGCTGTTGAAAAGTTCAGCAGTTCATGTCTCTTTTGCAAGAAGATTCTCTTTATTTAGATTCTATCTTGCCTCTTTATTTTCACTTCATTTATCCCATTAAAGTCCAAGTAATGGTTAAAACAAGATGAAAACTAAAGGATAAAATACACCATTCATTAAAACATATAGCTGGACAAAATGCTCACTTTAGGGCATAGTTAACAATATGTATGGTATACCTGATTTAGAAAGATTTGGTTTTACAGTTTGACACAGAAAAAAAAAAACCTCACATGAAAAGTCGCATGAACTAATTCAACTATAAGTAGAGTTAGTTGATAACTTGAACAATCTGACGCGATAACTATGTAAGTATAGGGCTCAGAAGTTGAGAGCTGGTGTTTCTGTTTTCTAAACTAAAGTTATTTCTTGGATATTCCTGGAAGAGTGTCAGTGATTGATACTCCCTAAACTCCTATGCCCAAGCTCTTGTAGTAAAGCTTTGTAGTAAGGGCCGCCTTCAGTGTTGAATTGCTTCACAACTTAAATACTTTTAAGCTTCTAACTTTCTACTTATGACAGACATAGCTCTTTTAATATAAACTCTCTGAGGGTGGGGTCTGTATTTTCTTTGTAGTTCTTTTTGCCCCAAATGCAGGGAAGATTTTCTATTTATGTGTAATTTCAGTAAATCCTTTGGGATAGGGCTGTGTATAGGATTTGAGACCTGAATATACAGTCTCCTTGTTAAAGAAAAGTTACGTGCATAGAAAAAGTTCAAAATATCCATGCATCAGTTATGTTTTTGTTTTGTTTTGTTTTGTTTGTTTTATGACAGACCCCATGGTTCACAGTCCAAAAGAGGAAAAGCATGAGTTCATTAAAAGGGCTGAACATTGTAATGACTGCAGACAGAGGCAGTCAGTGGTTCAAGTTCAGGGGAGCTACAGTTACATATAATATGTTAGGTACGTGTTAGTGTTTATAGAAGGAGTTCACATAGGTTTTTAATATAGTGTTTATGCAGTAAGAGTTCACATAGGTTTTTTAATATTTTCTTACAGAGGTCTATCACCAACTGCCACAGATACCTGTCTTGATTTTAGCATCTTTTTCATTTTCAGATTTGGTTTCCTATAATTTATTTAAATGTCAGCTCCCAGTCCACTAATTCTGGCTGTGCAGTTAGCGAATGATGAAAAGACAGAACTCTCACAGTGGTTTTGATGGTAGACTTCATGCCATGGCCTATGTAATTTTGCACTATACAGTTTAATTTAGGAAGCTTACTCCCAGAATGTTTTTTTTTTTTTCATGTCCTTCTACTTATATTTAACGTCTGTTCCAGAAAGGGTTACTCTGGCTTCCGGTGTACTTAGGCTTCCCTTAGCTGAGCATACTTGGCACTTTGTGGCAAGATTTTGTGGAATTTGGTAGAAAAAGAAAAACAGCACTAGAGACTTTAGGATATTCATAGTTAGTGCCAGGATCTTGGTAGCGTTATTGAAGCTGACTGTGGCTGAAATTGCCACTGTGCTCTTTGCTAGGTCTGTGACCTCAAGACAGTGTTGAATGTCAGTGTCTTTATCCATGAAATTCAGATTTTATCTAAAGTTACTAATTCAGAATCAAACTTTAAGAACTCTCCTTGTCAGTATTTTCTGAGTGTTCCTGAAATAGAGAAATTGCAATTAAGAAGCCATTCTGATTTTTACTAGTCTAATACTAGTAGCCTATTCTTATTCCCATAGAGATTTACCAAGCGATCTCAGAAATTCCAAAATTTTCAGTCTGTTTCATTAAAGAAGGCTCTTTAATTAGAACCAAGTTTTTAAAAAAATTAAATCCACAAAGAGATTTTTAAAAATGTTTTGTTATAGTCTCATAGTATTGTGCATAGTGCTTTTTACTTTTCAAAGACCTTTTCTGTTTTCTCCTGTTATACCTGCAGTAGAAACAGAATACAATAAAAGAGAGGAACATCTCCTAGGATGTCAACCTTTTAAGGATTTTTCTTCTCACATTGCTAAAAGTAGTTGCCCATGGGAGAAGCTCTGTGGACTCTGTAAGACAGTGTGGTGGCTTGTAGTGCGCTCATGTCACTCTGCTCCCTGGCTCTTGGATAATTCGCTTATGAACTTGTGGGATCTATGGCTTCCCAAATTTTTTACTTCTAAAATTTTTTGGTTCTAACTTATTTTTATTGCTGACCATTATTCAATTCATCAATAAAAAATTATCTTTCATCTTCAGAGATAAATAACTATGTATGATTCAGAATAGAAAGAATATTTTAAATTTCCTTTTTTACATTTGTTTTGTATATTATAAGGATGAGATGTTTAACATATTGGGTTTTTCTTCTTCCATGCATGCCACATGCATTAAATAAATGGCAGTCGGCAGACCACAGGGCAGCTTGGGACTCTCAGCAGGCAAATCCCCATCATTTGAGAGCTCACCTTGCAGCAGACAGACATGGTGGCTCGGTACAGGTATTTTCTGATTTTTGCATGAGTGATTATTCCCCAGATTTATACAACTAACCTTTTTTTGAGCTCATGGCATGATACTCTATCCTTATGAAAGCTTGTTGCCGAATTCTATCCATAATTCTATTTCTTTGTTACTTAACCAAAACCAAGTTAACATGGTCCAGGAAGACCACCAGGGATGCTACACTTTCATGTGCCGTGGTTTACTTTTTGCAAGTACATGCAACAGTATTTAAGTCATATTCACGGCAAGTTAGAAAAAAATGAGTGTGGTTAAGTATGCATTGAGCTAGATTTTTAAATGTGAAGTTTAATATTTTTATTAATGCTTTAAATAAAACATTTACAAAACTCCCCCCCCCCCCCTTTTACTGACTTTGCTTCCTTCAAGTTTCATTCATAGATATCTGAACATTTTCATCTGTACTACTTGGAAACATGGCCCTGTTGGCACTGCTGTGCTATACACTCATAGATACTCAGTAAGCTGTGGTTTCTGCACCTTTAAAGCACATCCGCCAGCAGCTGCCCGCCACTGTCCTGGCCGCCAGGTGTAACTATTTAGGTTTGATTATGGAGACTGCAGCCTTATAGGGCTTTACAGTGGCTCCTTAAGCCAATCTGAATACTAGCTCAGAGTAACTGATGACTTCTGTCGCAACTTCTTTCAATTTGAAAGCCCTATGTTTTGGTTTTGTTCCTCTGCATATTTCTGCTTGAACAATTTTCCATATTTGATCAGTTTTGCATTCTTTTTAATACATTATTAATCAACATAATCTATATTGAATCATTTTTATTTAAATTCTAAAAATCAGTTCAAAATTAAGTCTTAGGAGCTATCTTGTTTTCCTCACTGATACATTTTAAAGTATGTAACCACCCATTTATATATAAAAATATATAGATTTTTAGTAATATGCAGTAGAAATATTTGAATAGTTACATGAACTCAGGAGTGACAGACTCAGGCAGAAGTACCTGAATTCATATCATTGGAGAAGCTAAGTGAGCAAAGTATGTTTAATCTGCATAAAATGTTTACCCATATTTTTGCTTGCTTCTGAGTCCTTTTGTTATGCTACATGTTTTGCTAGTGCTCAGGGAGATCTGCAGCAGTGAAGGCTCTAATAGAAATCTGTCCTGCCATTTATAGGGTCACTTTGAATCTGTTTTCCTGGTCTGTGGCTCCTCTTATGTGTTTCCCTGGATGGATTGTTTTGGTGTTGTTCCATCACATTAGCAGTAGTGCTGTTTTCCCTTAGAGTGCTTGTACTTTTTTCCTGTCTCTCCCAAACTTTTCTGTCTGTTGAGACTCCTTCCAGCTTCATTCTATTCTGTGTGATCAGTTTACCCAGTAGAATTCTAGTAGGAGAATGAATGCATAGATCAAAATAAGAAATTATGCTCTTTTTATTGATTTCTTTTCTCTCCTATCTTTTTTTTGCATTTTTTCTTTTTCTTTTTACATCTCTATCAGTTTTTCCTTACTCCACTGTCTTTTCAATCATAAGCTGACTTAATACAGTAAACATTTTCAAAAGTTTAATGAGTAGTTTACTAACACCTCAAGTATGTCAATGCCAGAATCTTATCCCACTGCAAAATAAAGAATGTATTTAATGCATTTGCAAATTATCTTATGCACATTCAGAATTACTTGAATTATTATGATTATATATACTTAGACTAATGAAAATGTAATTAAAACTAATGAAATGAAAGAAAAGTACCTAAAGGCTAACTACTGTGATTATTATTATTGAGTACTATAGCTGATCCTTAATCAGGATAGAAAGAGAAGCAGTGTGTTATTCTCATGGTCTTATAAAGGGAAGTGCTGCAGAGGTTTTTAAGAACCTTTTTTAAGAGGTTTGTTTTGGCCTCTTGAAGGATCAAATGGTGTGTGTGTGTGTGTGTATAAAATCTTAGCACATTAGGCAAGAGCTCTAACATGATGCTGCAAGCCCAGCAGTTATATTTGACAGGCTTTTCCCAGTCAGTGATAACCCCCATTACTGTAGTTTTTTATGTGGAACAGTGAAGCACTATTAACATTCTAGGCTGTTTAGAGTTGACCATGGTGGAATTTTTTGAAGTTTTGACTTAAAGAAAGATAGTGTTTATTTCTGTGAGTGTGGTGATACACGTGTTCAAATGATTGTGTGCCCATTTGCATATATGTAGATGCTGAGCCATATTCCTACTCCTGATGATCTTTTAATAGATGCTGAGTAGCAGAGTCTAAACTTGAACTTTCTCCTGTCCTGATTAATTATAATTTAACAGACAGATATACATATTACCAAAATGATATTGTTGTTGAATACAATAGATTTGGTTCAAATTTTGTATGCTGATTATTTATCAATAAAAGGAGGAGGATATTAACAATATTTTCACCTTGATTTTGCTGTGAAAATTTTGTAAAAAGTATTTTATATAGAGACTGAGATTTTAAAAGTGCTAAGTACAATTGATTACTTTTTTAATCAGTGAAGTTATATTTTATTCATTTCCTTAAATTGAAGAATAAAGACATAACCAGGAGAAAACGTCAAATTCACTTTTTCTTTTTTATATTTAGTGAAATATGTAGCTATTTATTCAATAAACTCTTTCTGCTAGAAGAATGAATAAATTAGTATATCTGAAGATGTTATTTTGAGTCTGTTCTTGCCTGTGTATGTTTTGGAAAGCCACTGGATTTAGTGTGCCTATCTCTGTTTGTCCATAGAGCCATTGCAATGGATATGACTGGGAAAGAGATGTACCCATTCATAATTTTGGCCCTTTATTATTTAGAAATATTTATGTAAGTTACTGTTACGTTGTTACATACTGTTAGTTTGTGTTAGTTACTGTTAGGCTCATGAAATGAAAAGAAGAATTGAGAGACAGGAGACTGTGATAGGTAGTTAGCAGAGTGCTAGGAGAATATTCAGAGAAACAAATCTAAAATGGCCTGAATTAATGATTCAAATTTTCATGTAAAAATACTCTGAATACAAAAGTATCAGTAGTGATTATCAGCTGAAGAAGGCTGTAGGGGAAAGAGGAGTGTCTCAGGCAGAGAAGACAGCACGCATATAGTGGGTGAGGAGAGAGATACACTCAAGAATTGAACTCAGTAGATAGGGGGGTTGGTAAGAATTGAAACTGGGAGGCCCGTGGGTTGTAAATTGTGAAAGATATAATAGTCCTTGTTATTAGTTTTGAATTTTATTCTGAAGATACTGGGGAAACATAAAGAGGATTATGTAAAGCTAGTCATGGTGGTGCATGTTTGTAACCTCAGCCAGAGACAGGATCCCTAGGAAAGCTAATCAGCTAGACTAACTGAATTAATGACCTCTGGATTCAGCAAAGCACCACTTTCTCAACAAAGAAACTGGAGAACAATTAAAAAGATACCTGATGTCAACTTCTGGCCTCTAGATATGTGGGAAAACATATACACAATCATGCACACCACCCTCATACATGCAAAATACACACATACACACACACAATCTAGTGTCTATGTCTATCTCATTTTCCTGGTTTGTGCATTTGGTGATGTGCATTTGTGATGGTTACATAGGTGGCTGCTATGTAAGCATAGGGTCTCAGGTATCTGTAGTATTCTAACTCAGATTCCTGTAGGTATATACTTAGAAGTGGTACAGTTAGATCATGTGCTAATTCTATTTTTGATTTTTGAAGAACATTCGTCTTGATTTTTACATTGGTTGCACTACTTTACTGGCCCCCTAGAGGCGTATAAGGGTTCCTTCCTCCCGAGCCCATCCTTACTAGCTAATGTTGTTGGGCTTTTGCTTTCTTTTTCTCTGTTTTTTTTTTTTTTTAAAGACATAGTCTCACTGTGTAGACACAGGCCAGCAGCCTCAAACTCTCATAGATCTACCTGCTTTTGCCTCCACTCTGCCTGGCCTTGTTTACTTGATCCTGGTGGGTTCAACTCAAGATGAGATGGAGTTTTGATGTGCTTTTCAGTCACTGCTCTCTGACAGCTAAGGGTACTTTTTTGGTACTTTTCCTATGTTTATTAATCATTTGTATTTTCTTGTTTTTAAAAATGTCTTAATTTGCCAGTTTATTGATAGAATGATGTGAGCTTTTGGTTATTAATTCTTTTAGGTTTTTTAAAATATAGATTCTAGATACTGACCCTCATTCAGATGCATAATTGACAAGCATTTTCTCCCGTAGACTGTCTCTCTACTCTGCCAATTTTCTTTTCTATTCAGAAGACTGGCAGTTACTGGATGTTTATTTCTTAAACTGTTTTCCCTTTCTTTCCTTGTGCAGTTTCATGGCTTTAGATTTAACATTGTCTTTTAATCCATTTTAATTGATTTTTGTGCAGAGTGATTGATATATATCTATTCTTATTCTTCTGCATGCAAACAAGCAGTTTTCTAAGCACCGTTTATGGAAAAGGCTGTCTTTACCCCAGTGTCTGCTGTGGCTGTGTAGTATAATTTGACATCTGTACCCCCACTGCTCTTAGTGCTTGTCATTACTGTGGTCATTTGAGGCCTTCAAGCTTCCGTATGAGTTTTAAAACTGTTTTCTCTTTCTGTCAAGACTGTCATTGAAATTTTGTTGGAGATTACATTGAACTTGCAACCTTTTTGGTCATATAACCATTTTTATAATACTGCTTTTGTGAATTTATGATTATGGGAGTTCTTTCCATAGCTTCTTAAATTTCTTTATAAATTTTTCATTGTAGTTTTTCATCTCTTTGCTTAGTTTTATGACTAGATATTTTTGCTTTGAAGCACTTGTGAATGAAGTTTTTTCTTTTTTTCCCAACAAGTTTGCTATTGTATAAAAGAACTACTGATTTGAGTTTGGATTATGTACCCTGCTACATTGCTGAAATTGTTTCATAAATGTAAGAATTTCTACTAGAATCCTTGAGGTCTTTTGAAGTATAGAGGAACTCTGTTGTCTGCAAGTGGGGGTAATTTGATTTCTTCCTTTCCTGTTTG